GGACTGTAGTATAATGAACAAGAAAACAGATGATTAAGACTAGAAAACCTGACTGCCACAAAGAAATTTATAAAAAGATAGGTGTTTGGAAGGTTTGGTTTGTTTGATTTTAAAGGAGACTTCTAATAACCCTTTTATAAAATGTTAAAAATAAAAAGATAAAGATGGGAAAAAAAGATAAAGATGGAACCCAGTGAATTACAAAATGAAGGATGGCTAGTGAAAAAGTAGAATAGGCCAGGCATGGTAGAATTCCAAATAAAACAGCACTTAGAAGGCAGAGGCAGGCAGATCTCTGAGTTTGAAACCAGCCTGGTCTACATAATGAATTCATTACGGGACAGTCATGGCTATGTAGAGAGACCCTGTCTCAAAAAAAAAAAAAAAGCATGTGGACGAGACTACGTGCACTAGTGATTTGGGAAAGCTGAATACAACACATTTATTCAATATGGAACTACTGATGTCAAGAGGAGCTAATGAATACTATGGGAACACGAAATAGATGGGTGTAGATAAGAGAACCAAACCAACAAGAAAAGATGGCAGAACTATATGAAACTTACAATACACACAATACAGAACTTGTCATGATCCCAGTGTAAATTTGTAAAGCAGGTCAGCAAGATGGTTCAGCAGACGAAGGCAAAGGCCTCCCAGCCCAGCCTCGGAGTGCAATTCCCAGAGCTCATTACAGATAAGGGAGAATTAAGACCTTCTGCTTCTCCTAACCTACACACGTGCACACACACTGACACACACACTCAAACACACACATGTACACACACTGATACACACACTCAAACACACACATGTACACACGTACACACACACACTAAATATAATAAACCATTTTAAATATGTAAAGCAAAAGGTACTATGAGAAATGAAAATGGCATAACAATAATCTTTACAAATTTCTCATTAATTAATTAGTAAGCAATGTGAGCTGACTCCAGAACACCAGACTGCCTATCCTCAACAATCATACAGAATTACAAATCCTTATGTACCACCACAGTATCAAATTAAGTCTGCTGACTCTAAGCATGAGTTTCCACATCCTGTCACTCAAGGTCCAGTCAGTTGTAACATGAGTCTCTTTGACCATCACAGTTGCACATCCAAAAAAGCTGTCAATCAGGATGAAGTTAGAAGATGACAGCAAGACAACTACAGAGGGACAACTAGTCAGCTGTAGAGCAGAACTTCAAAGATGATACAGCAGGAGGCACTTGGGAGACAGTGAACTCTTCCACTCACCATCTGGAGTGATGGATACATGATTTTTTTACATTGGTCTAAGGTTGTAAATTTAGACATAAAATATAATTTTTTTAAAAAATTGAGTTGTTAGTCAGTTGGAGACATTCCTTTTCTCCAACAGCCATCATGTGTGGCTCTGGCCCACGGCACCGGTGGTCACAGCCCCAGGGCAGGCAGGCACTAGGCACTGGTTCTCAGTGGCTGCAACACTGCTGTGTGTGGAGGACACTGTGAGACCCACAGCCCTGGGACTGTTTGCCAGGCCCCTACATCCAGAAAGACAGTGAGGGTTGTTCCCCAGCAGTCTACATGGCTCCCTGACTGCAGCAGTTGAAAGGGACTTC